CATGAGCGATAAGAAGGTGAATAGCCCTCTTCTTGTTTTTGACGCTCCTGCAAGTTTTGGAACAAGCTCTGTTCCAGAAGAGGGCCAGAACGCAAAGTTCAGAACCCAAGCCACGTACGGTTTGAGACGTTGAGAGTTAATATAGCAATATAGCTTTAGGAAGCCGTAAAACAGGCAAGAAACCAGATAAGATGTTCACCTTCGTATTGCCGGCGGGTCTACATTTTCAAAACGATTATAATGAGGACAAGTTTAGGTTCGGGTTTCGTATTGAAATCTAAAACAAAAATTTGCAACGGACGTCTAGTAACGGAAACATAACGCGCAAGTATAACGGGAATGCAACAAGTGAATTGCACTTTCCTCGTTAAGTTTAGCGAAAAAAAGAATACTGGCTATGTGATCATGTAGCCAAAGCACGTGCAGTGCTAATCACACTTGTCTATAACGCGCGAGCGAGCGGCTTTCTCCGGGGAGCGCATGACTGGTGGCATTCGCGGAAACTAAGCTAGTCACGTGGCGCAACATGGAACGGCCCGCTCGAGGGGTGTCCTGCCCACTCTATCAGCTGGCGGCGAACGCGGAAGGCGGCTTGCACGCTTTTTACAAACGTCATTGTTCGAACAATAAACAAACTGAAGCATGAAGGCGTATCAACGATGTCGTCATCAAAAAACAAAAACAAAATTATATCACAAAGCACTTCACTTTTATCGCTTATCAAGCTGATAGAGTGGGCAGGACACCCCTCGAGCGGGCCGTTCCATGTTGCACCACGTGACTAGCTTACTTTCCGTGAATGCCTCCAGTCTAGCGCTCCCCAGAAAAAGCCGCACGCTCGCGCGTTATAGACAAGTGTGATTAGCACTGTACATATAGGTCCCAATTTAGTAGGCTCATACCCAGTTAAATTTAGCGCAAAGGTATTCGCGTGGCGTTATTAGCGTGATGGCCGTCAACTGCTACCATGACGTCAATTGACAGTTTCACGTCACGTGAAACCAGGGCTTCAAGCGACATCATGAGGCACCCCGTGACACAATGACAATGTGACGTCACGAGACAGCAGGGTATGACATCGTGATGTCACGGAACGTGATACCACAAAGGCACGTGACACCTGCCATTGTGCTTTGACATCGTGAAAGCATGAGATTGAGATTATGTGAAAGAATTATTACAGTCAATTACTTGCACTCCGATGAACTCCTTGTGAAGGGATTTTCGATACTGCATATCATTCTATTGCGTGCCAGCAGTGTTGTAGGCGTTATACCGAAAAAGAAATACCCAAATACGTTACTCGTTACTCGCAAAATAAAGGAACGCGTTACCGATCCCGTTACCGACTAAAAGTACCGGACGTTACTTTTGGTTTTTAAATTAAAAATAACAGCGTTTTTCTTTTTTCTTTTTTTTTTTTGCGACAACGTTTTTAGACATTGGGACAAAGGGCGGGTGCGTTGTGTCTTTTCTAAAGTGGAACTTTTTGCGTCGGGAAAAGGCATGCGAAGTTTTGAAGGTATCTGGAACGAGTGCAATAATTAATGACTTGTCGCCTATACTCCGTTTCAGCTTATCTTCAAACGCAGCCAACGCTACGAGATAACCGGACCAATTAAACAGCGACAAAAGCGCAAATCACTGGGCCTTTTTTGTTTAAGGTTGGTTCAGAGATAATAAAACACGAACAGAAATTTGACGAACTAGATAATGCAGGCGTTTCAACGCTGTCTGATTAACTCCATCAGCTCGTAGCATTGGTTGCGCCTGGACTTAAGGTAAAACTAAGCATAGAAACACAGAACAAATTTATAGATACTTTTTTTTTAGGTTTGGCGAGACTATGTAAATACGGTACCTGTTACTTCAAATAAGTAGCGTAGCTACGTTACCCGTTGCAGTTTTGAAAATGTAACGAATGCGTTACGACATTAACGTAACGTAATACAAGTAATGGTAACGCCATTACTTGCAACATATTACCGCCAACACTGCGGTGCCTGTGCTGTTGTGACTGTAATATCTGCCATGTCGCTCTAAGTTTGAATCCCTTTCATTTCTTTCTATTCGCACCTTTTATTTAAAAACTCTTTGCCTTATATCTTCACATTTTGAAGTTATTGAAAAGCCGGGGTCGTTTTTAAAACTGGAAACTCATTCCAATATGTTTTCCTCTCTCTCTCTCTTTCTTTTTCTATCTATTCGGCATGCATTTGTCACAAAGTGTAAAGGAACAACAACATCGTTGGTAGCGTGCACTTTTTTAGGTGGTGGATTGGATTTTATAAACAAGAGACTGTTGGACGGGGTTACGGCAGAAACGTGTAGCAGACTGGCTTCTACTAGTGCCACTAAATAAGCTACGCTTCAGAGTAACGACACTTGGCCGTATTGTGTCTTAAAATCATGATTGCCAGTTATCTGAAGCTTTATCTGAAATCAAAGGATACGATTTTCCGCCCTCCAAAAATGTTTAAACAGTTCGCGACCGAGCAAGGCAATATTACATGAGCTTCCTAACACCGAATCTGATGCTGAGGAAGTCGCAGTTTTGAATCATGACGATTGGCAGTTACGTCTGCTCTGCATACGAGCCAAAATGGCGGCGACCACAACAATGTATGGGAACGGAGTGCCGATACTCTAAGCGCAGCTCATTTAGTGGCTCTAGCTTCTACTTTGCGACATGGTTACCTACAGTTTATTTGAACTAGAGTTTTGTACTGCCGCCTCTCTTTGCACAGACCGTCTTAAAAGAGCGTTGCAAACTAAAACATCAACACAGCAACGTCTGGCTCCCTTCCTTCCCTCCCCCCTTCTCTCCTTGCACGTGGTCAACCTTGATAAGCAAGTCAGAAATGGGAAACGCGACGACACTGGAGACTGCTGAGTCCTGAGCTAGATCTTCACTATCTTAATCTCCGCCGATAGCGGCGCGAGTCGGAGGTCACTTCACCCGCATACGAAACAGATCGAGACGGATCGGGGCAAATTAACATCAGATATATCTTTCCGGGATTTTTATCCACGTCCAAGGATGTTATAATATTTGGCTAACAAATCACGTACTTCTGATCGAACTGTTAATTATTAAAGACAAATAACTACTCCTGTTACGATTTGAAATATGTTTGTTGCGAAAGCGTCGCGCTTGGTTCGTAGAACTTTGCAGTGTGGGTCTTCCTCAACGAGACGTCTCCTTCGTGTTCCAGCGCGTCCCAAGTCTGCAAGCGTTCAGTATACGAGGCTTTCTACTCGAGACAAGGCGGTGCATTTAGTTTCAAACTTACATTGATAGCACATAGTTCACTTTCCCAGAAAAAAAAAGTAAACTGCCAATAGCCAGAAACAATAGAATTTCGGCAAGTAGCAAACCTAGAACACGATTATAAAACAAAATGCTACGTGTGTGGGGAAAATTATTGAATTGGAAACGTGATGTTCATTTCCTTTGCACTCGTCTTATTTTGTTTTAATGTAATCGTGTTCTGAGCTTCGTTGTTTGCTGACATCCTTCCATTGTTGATCACAAATGGCTGCCTCCGTGTTCTCCAGAAAAGCGAAAACACGGACGTTTTTTAGGCTGAAGTATTGGCCAATGTTGTATTTTTTTATAAAAATGCATTAATTCAATGGAATTCCCAGTGCGTCATTCATAAAATGTTCGCTACAACGATATACGCGACGAATATATATATATATATATATATATATATATATATATATATATATATATTATTTAGAACTGCTCCTACAGATCATTAAATAAAGCTTACGATTGGGTGCATGCGTATAAAAGTTGTCGCGATGAAGCCGGAAAGACGTAAACGTCTATTGCCTTACATTACAAAGTGGGTTGAAAGCGTTTGCCAATCGAGCCGATTTCGCAGTTCGCGCGGTGTAAAAAGCAGTTCGTGTGGCAGTACGTCCGCTTGCTGAGATACATTTCGAATCAAGAAAAGGACACAAGGCTACCTACTCAAGATCCCTGGGTACCGAGGTTGCCCAATAAACAGCCCTTGCAGCCACGCTTCAAGGACCCTTAGCGTAGCGCCGCAGTCATCCGGTATACTGCCTAAGCGCTGTTGGGACACTAGAAATCTCAGTGTCGTTTCTTGTTGCACATCTCAGCTTGATCGGAATCAAATTATTTAGGTTATGTTAGCACCATTAAATATCACCAAATTAAATGATTCTTTTGTCATTAATTTCTTTTTAAATTGAAGGATGTTGTGTTTGGTGCTGACATGTTTCTAATATACCCATGTCACGGCGTTCACCACAGCCGCCTTCGTTGTCTTTGTTGTTCTCACTAGTTTATGAAAATATTTGCCGCTGAAACCGTAAGTGGGACTTTTTTTATACTTATTTATTTATTTCGAATATAACGACCCTTGTGTCCAAAAGAAGAAAAAATGAAGATTTCTATATCTCCTCTGTCCCTTACTAACAGCTATGGTCATGAAAAAGTAAACGTCTCGACATTGAAACTGCGTTTTTCCAAGCTTGGACCTCAGTAAACAATGTGACCACTCAAACAAGCAGACAGACCTCCCAAACAAAACGGGTTATTTATGAGTCGCTACAGCTTTTCACGTTGTGATGAAAGGCATGCTGACAGCGGAGTTTCAGCGCCCTCACTTTAACCTATCAACATCGTCCTTACTTGATAAAACGTTAATTTGTTTTCCACATATACCCAGGCGCTGTAAACTATGTTTTGCGGTAGGAAATATAATATGCAATAACTACTGCAGTAAGCACTGCAAAAACAAAAGCGAAGGCAAAAAAAAAAAAAAAGAAGAGACAGGGCCAAGCGGCCTTCTCTTACACATTCGTTTCTCTTTGCGCGCTGTTTTTGCCACACACTCTCCCTTTACTTGCCCGGCGTTTTCATTTTCTTACCACATATCGCGTGAACGTAATAAGAGCGTAAACATAATAGTCACATCCTTAGTTTCTGAAACTCTCGGTGGCTCTAGTCGCACATCACCCACCTCATCGAGCGCCAACTGCTGTTTCTCGTTCAAGTGTCCAGGATATCCACTGCTGTCCATGGCTTCTGCTGCCCACTCCGCGTGACTGCTGCCGTCCCGCGCACCGAAGTAGCACTTAGCCGCACTGCACGGCACCAAACCGGTCGGCGACAGTCAACAAGGACGCTCGTCGAAGGCCGGCACGTCGGAGCTCCCTCCCCTAGCGACCGTCACTGGTATCGCCGTCCCTCGCAGCGATAGGTCGCTACACCCCGATTCATAAACGGGCGAGAGCTAATCGAAGAACCGTATACTTATTATCCATGGTGGAAATCTATTTATTTTTGAATCTAGATGCCTCCACCGCAATCAGGTGCGTTCCAGGCATGTTTACGGGGCGAGAGCGCCGGCGAGTGCCCGCGTATCAATGGAAGGTCAGCGAAGCGCGTCGTCGACCTTATCGGGTCCTGCCCTTCGCGCGGAACCCCGCTTCTTCCGAGATCTTGTCTACGGGCCAGTAACAGATTCGGTTAGATGCAGCCCGCCGGCTGTGAGCATAGTGGTTGCCATAGATGCCGCGTATGGTATGGGGCGCGTTTTACCTGAATGTTTTCGTTTCTTGGGGTTTCATTAAATCATCGAATACTTTTTAGCGGAACCCTCTCATTCCAGAATCCGCCCGTTCGTCAAAGTTTCCCGCTACATTTTGCGAGAAAATTGACAGCACGTGACAGCACAACGTGACGTCAATACCTGCTAAATTTCCGGGAGAATTTATGTGAAGTGACCTGAGCTTATGTGACGACATGTCACGCGATATTGTGACGACACGGCACCTGGTCACGTGACACTACAATTCCACACCGTGATGTAAATGTTCCAACTTGATTTAGCGGAGGAACCAATATCACGTGAACTAACGTCAGGTAACATGACGACGTGACGTCATGAGACCTAATGTTGCGTAATGTCACTTTTCCCGATAAATTTAGCGCAGAATCGACATCACATGTTACCACGACATCAAGTGACGCCCTGATTTGTCACCGTTAGGTCACGCGACGTCACGATGCCAAGTCCTGGTGCCACAATAAAGAAAACACTATCGTTGTTAACACCCCTAAACGACCAGAAATGAGTGCTATTTCCGACTCTAACTATAGGTGGCGCTACTCGTCTTCCAAAATGGCGGTTATAGTGATGGTCGGAGATGCGTGCTCGTGAACCACTTGCTGATCCTGCCTACTATGCTGGGTTCACTGAGCGACACAAATCATTTCTATTTATACCAGGAAGTTAGGGTGTAATGAGCGCAGAATACCTTTTTATTCAGAAAACAAAAGCGGTGATGAACGTAATATTTACGCCAGGAGGCACGTTTTAATTCTGGAACGAAACCGAAACTAACCTTTATTTTGGATGTAATTTCTTGGTATCGGTGTTCATTTCGGATTCTTTCACAAGTCAAGATGTTTCTCATAGCCTCATTATTGAGCTGAAGAAGTTGCTCGCCGAAACTTTATTTGGTGACATACGTGTTCGATCCAGGCACTTCAAAATATTTTGGAAAGTTCAGTGCCCCTTTGAAGGCCGGGTCGCTCATACACATTAGAGGTAACAGAATTTTGTGTTTCTTGAAAAAGCAGCCCTGACGTTTGTGTGTTATTGCTGCCTTTTTTGACCCAGAAAATTGTCAAGTGAAATAATGAACTGCGGGCCTTTTTATGGGTTTGCGGTATTTCGATGATAATTGCTTTAACATTATTGTTAAGCACAAGAATAACTAACTCAAACCACACGGCTGATGGGTGTAGAATATCTTAACAAAACCTATGTAGATTAAGAAACGCTGTTTTCACTACAAAAATCAAAGACGGAACGCGAGTCAGACAGCAGAAGTGTGTGTGTTTTTTTAAAGCAATGCGTGACGCATAGGACTCTATGCTACATTTAATGTTTGATGTTTGTCTATCTTGACAACGATGTCAGGGTTTTTCATATACGAAAAATAAAACAAAATGGAAAGACTAATATGGTTAAATGGCGTATTTTTGTGATCGTACTGTTTATTGATTGCCTACATTGCCGCAATTTATATTAATATTAACGCTGCAATTAAGAATAAGTAGCTCTTTTAAGCTCTAATATACTTTGTTGCTTACGATCTAATTTCAAACACTCGACCAAATATGGCAATCAAAGTGTGCAAATTATCATCACTTGGGCCAATCCCAGCACTTTAATAAACAAGTTATAAAATAAAAATAGTGCAAAATCAATGAAAACCTTCTAGCTAAATTGAGAAATTCATGTAAAATTATAATAATTATGGGTAAAGCATAAGGTGATATCAAAGTCGTGACTTTTGACAATCGGCGAAATTTCCAAAGTGGACTTCTCACAATCGGCAAAACGTCCGGAACAAATGCCCCCAAAACGAAACAAAAAATCAAAAAAGCGAAGTTTTCAAATACCAATCTTTCCAGAACGTTTATTTTTTGTTTTTTTTACGCGCCGTCGTTTTGCCGATTTCATGCTTTTCAGTTTAAAGGCACGCCTACCCGCTTGCACGTCTGCTCACTGCAGCACGTTTCGTTGAAGTTGGAAACCGATGAAACGGCAGTGAGCTTTCGTATTGCGAATACTTGAGAACACAAGCACTGTGTGTTTCCGTTAGCGTCGTGTGAACCACACTGCGCCTGCGCAGAGCCAAAAATTGAGGTCTTGGATTGCCGCATGGTGACGACGCGCACGCGCAGCGTAGAGCACGCAACTCTAAAGCAAACACGCAGCGCTGGCTTTTGCTTCTATACGCAATATTAGAACTCTCTATTAAGCTACAATCTCATACCGGCTGCAGCACTACATTGGGACAGTGAAGAGCGTTGTTTCCATTCAAAAAGGACATTTCGCGTGCCATGATCGCGAGCAGTTCCTCCGTGCCCGCTGAGGAGGAGAAGCGGGGGACCCTAGCTCACTAGAGTGCTTCCCGTTTCCTCCGCGGGAGGGCGAGCAATGAGCTGGAGACGCGAATAGGCCTTGACAGCTTAAAGGGACCATGAAATGAACTTTGGGGGAATCGGCGCCCGAGTAGGCTAGCGCACACCATCTCGGAGCATGTGGAGCGAAAGCTCGCGCTGCAGAAACCAGGGATCCTGGGTTCAGTCCCCACCCCTGCTCGTTTCGATCTGGATGAGCATCGTAGCGGCGTGCGGTCGTGTATCACTCTGCGTAGCGCACGTTAAAGCCCCCAGGCTAGCAGTTGTACCGCACTGGTTCAATTTCTCATCTACAGCTGGGAGACAAGTCGCTCGTTGAGGCAGACCAATTTAAGCTGTATAAACATACACCCGGTCCAATTGTTGTTTTTTTTTTCATGAGATTTGGGTGGAGATAAGTGATTTTAGATTGGGATTTTACTAATCGCATATCGTTTAGCGGTCCAAATGAAAACTAGTGTACGAGAGTAGAAAGCCAAATAACCTGCTTTTCGGTACGAACATTTGAAAATATTGCGGACTGCTTCTTACCTCCTTTCCTTCCAAAGCTGTCCACCTTTTTCAATGAGATAAATCCGCGATGCCCAAGCCCGTCAGCCTAAACCCAGCTCACACACTGGACACTAGCAAATGCGTCACTCTGGCGTATGCGCTCGTCAACAATCAATCCGCCGACGAATCTTTGGATTCGCGTTCGTGGCTAACGAGTACCATGGCGGCACTTCTCATCACTTACCAATGATATTTTCCGCGGTTGGCTTAAAAAAAAAAACACTTTGGAAGCTCGGAAACGCCGCGTCCGGTAAAATACTATGTCGTAAACATGCAATTTCTCATTTCGCTTTAGTCGAGGATCAAATATAAGGAGGATAAAGTGGAAAATTAATTTCGTGGTCCCTTTGAAAAACGCAGGGCATGGTTTATTGTATTCACACTTCTTGCTTCGTATGTCGTGTTAAGGCGTTTTTTGTAGGCTGATGGTGCAATCTCGTTGGCTTCGAAGTTGTAACAACAGGATCGAGACTCGTCACGCCTCGTGGTTTTCTCTAAGTGACTGTTTAACTTGTATCTCTCAGCGGATGGATCAACGGTGGTATAGAGTTGCGGTCTCAGGAGCACGTACGGCAGCGAGGAAAGAGAGGACTTCGACACCTGGAGTCTACCGCTGTCAGAAATCTTGGTATTCCCGGTGAAGCGACACTCTCCCTCGATAAAGCCGCATAACAACACGTCTTCTCGTCGTATCGTGTCTTTACATTTTATTGTTTACGCACACAGAGAGCTCAAGGACGCCCGCCTTTTTATTTTCCGTGATGCCTACCTTTCGTCGAAGGTCAGTCGCTTGGCTAACGCGCCGTTCAACCCTAAGCTGACAGTGCGGCGAAAGCCACGTGGTCGCTGCACCCCTTCTCATACGTTCATCTTTCGCCGCGTGATCGGGCTCCCACCCACACGCACGGCAGAGGATCGGGTGACGAACGGGAGGCGGTCGGCTGATCCGGCGAGCGCGCAGCTCCCACTACACTCTCAGCTTAGCAGTGAGCGGACTATAGTGCGGTGTTCGCCCAAGAATCTTGCGAGTAGGAATCCGGCGGTTCAAAGGAGTTTTGACATAAATCGCCGTTGTAAATGGCTGAGAGGCAAACCTGCCCCATTGCGAGCAATGCTCTGGAAGGGAGTTTTTCGGGGGTATCTCCAGAACTTGGGTGAACAACCATTTACTAGATAATGACGGCGTTCCTACGACTGATTTTGAAACAAGGAGAAACGAGCCAAGGGCACGTTGTATGCGCTCCTTCCCGCGACCATATGCAGGACGCTGATAATCGTATTTATCGGCGGAAAAAAAAACATGCGATGAAATCTAGATTGTAAGTTCTTTCACCGGTAATGTATGTCCAAAGTACTAGCCTTTTTTTTAAGGCTCCTTATTGTGTTTTTGTTCGCAAGTAGTAGCGGCAAATGATCCACTGGTTTCGTGCCGCGCCTCGTGGAAGCAGATAGCTGCAATGCACTAAAATGAGCGGCACTAGGAAACGAAAGGCGGCGGACTACTGGCTCTTGACATGCACCTGGCGCATTCCCGCAACACTTGTTTGCGGTACTGCACCTTTTTCCAGCAGCCGCCTGCGCATGGGCCTCTTCTCGCTGCCAGTGCGCTGTCGCCATTGCCGGAGGGCAGCCACGCCGTGGTTCAAAAAGCAGTTAAAGGGCAACTCCACTCAAAAAGTCGACCCTATCGAAATGACTGATATCGCTTTAGGAGGTCAAAATACGGTCATACCCAAAATATCACGTCAAACCGACGCCGCGTTACCGATTAATACCAATATTAGAAATGTTCTCCCGGCTCGGTTAGCGGCCCGAAAGCGGGTGAGCAACGCTGGCACCGGGTGAGCTAGTGAAGC